ATGAAGATGAGTTTACATATCACCTTGGGTTCGTCCTTCACCTTCTCAAAATGATCCCACACTTTGGATTTCCTGCCCGACATGTTATTAACTAGCCTGTGGAATAACCGCAGGTACCAGCCCTGGACATTAACCTGACTCCTGTCTGACTGCTGAGCGTGGACACTTCCTGTGTCTGTCCTTTCACATTAAAGTCACATATGGTCTAGTCATATAGATTTGGATTTATTTTGACAAGGCACAGCTCCTGATAGAGTTTCACTTTAGTTTTTTTTTCTGCCACAAGCGACCAATGAAATCTTGCCGACTAATGACCTCTGTGGTCGACTAACGTTTGGCTGACTGTTAGGGGGGCGGCCCTACCAGGCTTTTAATCAAAGTTTTATGGTAGTTAAACACGGTGGTCCGACCTGTCTGACGTGTCTGCTGTGATTATTTTATGTTCAGTGTTTTGCTGTCATCTTTAATAAACCAAATCTACTGACACAGAAGTTCATCAGTGTGCTGCTGTGGACGGCGCTGCAGCAAAATGTATTTTAGCCACCTAAAAAAATCAGTATCAGTGTGAGTGTACGCTCTATTTGAATATCCGCTCGGCTATATCTCGCACACTAAACAATCGAGGCAGCAGCAGAGCAGCAGCTCAGTGTTCTGAGTGCAGTTATTGTTTCTGTCGGTGAAGTCTGGTGGCTCTGATATGACGTCTTCAAAGGCAGCCTGACGGTGAGGCAGGAGGACAAGACTCTGCGCCACACTTAAACCATAAAAAACAAATAAAGAGCAGCGCGTTTTATGAAAATTTCAGGATGACACGCAGAGTTAGAAATCATTTACTCTCAGAGGGGCATCAGTCTCAGCTGGAGACAGTGCACTGCAGGAACAAGTTCTAAGGCCCAGGAGTTAGCATGTTAGCACTTCCTGTTGCCTCGTCTTTAAGTCAGTGGGTTTTAATGCCTCCACACCAGCAACAGCCACGGCTGGAGGCGTTATAGAGGCATCCCTGTGAGCACAGTATCTCAAGACCTTGGACTCAGTGATGAACTGATTATTGTTTGGTGGTCAAAGGTCAAAGGTCACTATCACTTTGCTGTCTCATTGTTATGAACTTGATATTTAATGAACACTGAGAGAATTTCTTCAGATGTGGCACAAACATTGACTGAGACTCAATATTCGATTTGATTTCAGTGGTTAAAGGTCACTGTTACCTCACATCAATCTTGCGAACACCTCAAGGAAATTCTTTAATTTGGCACAAATGTCCATCTGAAGAATAAACTGATTAGAATTTGTAGGTCAAAGGTCAGTGTGACCTCACAAACATGTTTCTGTCCATAACTGAAGAATTCATTCACTAATTCTGACCAAACTTGACCCAAATGTCTAACAGGATAAAATAATGAAGGTCAAAAGGTCAAAGGTCAGCTTGACTGTGACATCATCATGTTTTAACGTCATATCTCAGGAACAGAAGGGGAGACATTTGGTCAGATACTGAATTGGTGACTCTAATCTTGAAACTGTGCTGATTGTATAGATCTTCTGTGTGTGAAGCATCCATGTTTTCACTGACATGGATGGAGACTGTCAGAGACACTGGACTGGTGGGCGGAGTCATACAACCACAGGGTGGACTGGTGGGCGGAGTCATACAACCACAGGGTGGACTGGTGGGCGGAGTCATACAACCACAGGGTGGGCTGGTGGGCGGAGTCATACAACCACAGGGTGGACTGGTGGGCGGAGTCATATAACCACAGGGTGGACTGGTGGGAGGAGTCATACAACCACAGGGTGGACTGGTGGGCGGGGTCATACAACCACAGGATGGACTGGTGGGCGGAGTCATACAACCACAGGGTGGACTGGTGGGCGGAGTCATATAACCACAGGGTGGACTGGTGGGCGGAGTCATACAACCACAGGATGGGGATCGTAGTTTGAATGTGTTTCTGGTCAGCTGTGTGAAATAAGGTCTGAGGTCAACATGAGCTGAAGAGACGTTCACCCTCTGCTCTACGTCAGTAAAAATACCCCACTGTCAGTTTACAGCTTTATGTGTCTCGACCAAGTGTCTAAATGAGGCGACAGAACATCATCATCACGTCATGTGACCGTGGCGACGTTTGTTTACAGCCTAACGTTACCTGTTTTACTTCTGCTGATTGAATTTATTCTTCAATAATCATAACAGTCATTAGTGAAGATTATGTCTCTGAACAGAACCTGAAGGATCAGAAATGGTTTGTGTTTCATTAATCAGAAATTCAGTGGTACAATCTCATTGGCTGTTTGACGAGGGAACCAGGGCGACGCTAACTTCACACAAACGTCGTCCCTGCAGCACTCTGTACAGTGTGGCGCTAAACACTACAGTACCCATGATCCTTCTGAACTGATCCATCAAACCAAGTCGAGCCTTCAGAGTCGGATCAGTTTGTGTTTGTGTTGATTAACCCTTCGCACTGCGGAGCTCCAACCCTTTAAAGAGGCAGTTAGCAGTTTGTAAAATATGTGAAACACGTCTGAAACAATAAACTAGAAACTGTCACGTGTCTGTTGTCATTTCTCATTTAGACTAACTGGACATTGACTGAGTGTTGATTTGCTCTGATGACAAATTGATCCTCTTGTTTTGTGGGCGCTTGAATCCTGTTGTGAGTCCCGTCCGTCACCCTGCACTCTTGTGGGAAGCCGGTAGCATCCAAGAAGTACGGCACTACCTCCTCCTCATCCTCCTCCTGTTTGGATGGGACCTTCACCCTGGTGTTCAGCAGACGGGTGAGGAAACCCTGTGAATGACGCAGCACACCGTTGACCTGTGTACATGAAATACCTCGCCAGTAACTGATAGGAAAGATCCTGTTGCATAAAACTGCAGAGCGATCACTTACTGTAATGGGACTGGATAAGTGCAGCTTTGGAAAGTTGAGTGATCCAAATTCAGACGTTGAGACGAATCATAAACAAAATCAGTTGCTCATCATTAACGGTGTCCGTCAGGTTTTCCCACTCGCAGAGCAGTCTCCTCAGGACGCCTTCATTTATCACCATAAACTCAGACATGTTGTTGTTAAGATGCAGTCAGAGGTACTTAATGTTTCTTTAAGGCTGTCAAAATATGGCCTCAATTTTGATGAATTAATTAACATTGATTAATCACATTCTGTGGTGCCCTTTGACCTGGTGCGTCACCGAAGGCCACAGTGTCTTTGTCACATGACAGAGGCAGATGAGACGACGCTGCTCGGCCCCGTGAACGGAACATTTACATTTAAAAACCACCCAGATGGAGCTGTAGATAGGAGTAGTGTTCTCTGCAGGCTCTGCAGGAAGGAACTTTCGTACTACCGGAGAACTTCAAGCCTGAAATATCACCTCAACACAAAACATTTAGCAGCAAACCTGGAGGTCTGAGCTAGCACAGCCTCTGATGCTAACGCTAGCGGCCAGCCTCGTCACGCCACACTGGACCAGGTGTTCAGACTGAGTCAGTCTACCTGTGACCGACTCACTCCCTTACAGAATGGAGTTAGGATCAGTTTGGGTGATTTCTCCTTAGCTGAGGGACTTACAGAAGTTGCACAGAATCCCTTTAAAAGGTTTCCCCAGTTAAGGAAAATCTCATTAACTGCGTTGAAAGGAATTTTACAGCAGTAACAGTTTCCATGGAGTCTGTTTGTTTGCTTGGACTCACACTCGTGACGTCTGTTATCGTCTCACAAAGTTGGCTCACAGTTAGATAATAGAAAATGTCAGAAGAAAAGAAGACAAGAAAACCAGACAGGTCAGAGGAGGAAAAGATGAAACATCTGGAAGACAACATTCATAGAAAGCACAAACTACCAAGTAGATTTGATGCTTAAATACCAGAAAACAGAAATGAATTCAGTCAAATCTAAAGTGTAAAATCAGAAGTGCATCTGTCTGGTTCTCCTGGTCTCAGAACACTGTTCTCAGGGTGGGTTCGTTTTTTCTTTCATCACTATAAACTCAGTCATGTTGCAGTTAAGACAGAGTCAGAGGGACATTAAGATTTTTTTTTACCTTGCTTTGGTTGCTAAGGTCTTTTGTGCAGCGGTCGAGAGGATACCTCAAGTATAAGACCAAGACAAGAAGGAAACCATAAATACTTAAGTGAACATTTCAAGGAAACCTTAAGGAGAAGACCTCAGTATGTTTTGTGCAACCAATTTTATTTTGAGGAAACCTTAATTAGGACTTAAAGGAAAATCTTAACTTAAGGTGTTTTCTGCAACCAGCCCCAGTCGCTCAGCATTAAGGCTGTTCATCAGGCTCTCCTTGTCGCAGAGCAGTCTCCTCAGGACGCCTTCATTTTCCTCGTTTATCACCATAAACTCAGTCGCGTTGTTGTTAAGATGCAGTCAGAGGTTTTTTCCTGACTTCGGTCGCTGAGGTCCTCCGAGTAACAGTTTAATGAACTTTAAGAAATGACCAAAGGCTTAAGAATGTTTAGTGCAACCAGTTTCATTTAAAGGAACCATAACTTGGATTTAAAGGAGAATCTTTGTGCAACTGGCCTCTATCTCTGGATTCTACCTGTCATGTTACAGGAAACACATTAACTGCTGCAGATGGAAACGGACAAGTGCAGACACAAGTTGCTCTGTTAGTTGTGGAAACTTTTTACTCTGACTTCAGTGTTGTGGTGTTTTTTTATTCATCTTTTAAAACGGAGCGTCTCTAACGTTTGACGACTGAGTGCCAGTTGAGGGAACTAACACTGACGACAGAACGTAACTCCAGTGTCACTCTCACGGTGTCAGTACCCTGCAGTTTTCACAGGCTGTCATCCCTCACCTGACAGACGCTTGTTTGGGAGGTGCAATTTAACGCAGTCGCCGAGAGGTGTATGAGCACAGAGGAATCTGATTTGAAACACATCATTGGTCAAATATTTCTGTGGACCAATCAGAGAGGAGAAAGATTCATAAACACTGAGGAGGAAAAACACTCACTGCACTTTAATATTTGAAGGGAAGACATCCTGCCGTCAGATCATACCCAACAACTCTGTGTTTACATCGTCCAATCATATCACAGAACATCACGACAGACGTCTCTTCTTCCCAGTGTTCTTTGAGGTTACATATACACTCACACACACTCACACACAAACATACACAGGTAAATGTCCTCAAACATTTTGGATCTGCAGCAGTTCTGGTTCAGCTCGACCGAGCGCAGAGTCTCAAAGAGTTCAAAGATGGCTTCAACACCAAACTCTGGATCCGTTGTCAAACTCAACTATGTTTCAAACTCAGTGCAGATATTCATTGAGGTGCAACACTACTGCTCCAGTCGCCTTTAACATCTAACGTCCTGTAGGTTTTTAGAAGTCTTTAGCCTGAGCTGCCTCCGTCATCGCTGCTGTGGTTGTGATTCAAAGTCCTCGCACGACAAAATGAAAATGTTATTTTTTGTTAAACATTGCAGAGAGGTACAGACGAAGGATTGATGGAACACGTTAATGTCTGTAATGTTGGGGATGTACGTGAGGATGAAGAAAGTCCAGTCTCTGAGGTCACTCAGCAGCCAGAGAGCAGTCCAACATGGAGTAACTCAAAAAGAAGGGTTCCACAATAACGTCCAGAAATTCACCAGGACAGTGAAGAACAGGTAGAATCTGTCAGGAACCACATCAAAGATGTTTTGAGTCTGTTGGAGCTGTAAAGAACCTAAAAGACCTGAACAGAATACTGACAGAGCTGTTAGATGTCCATCAGATCCCTCACAAATTAATCCACTGACAGGAACCTGATACAACCTTTAGAGTTCTATCAAACCTTTTGACAAATAACACATGATAAAACAGCTGCAAGAGGTGATTTCAGGGTTCAAGCTCAGAGGAAGTTCAAAGCTTTTGATCTGGACCCGATCCAATGTAACAAGTTCTCCTTGTCTTTCTTTTTCGCATATAGAATAAAGGTTTTGAGTTCAATAAGAAAAATGCTACAGTAGAAATGGATAAAGTCAGGATTATGATCCCTGTCATATCAGAGGATGGGTTTCTTGCCCCTTTAAATACTGACTGAAAATCAGTTCACCATGGCCGAATATGTGCCAAGCCCATGAACATGTTTGGAACTGGTGGCGCCACCTAGGGATCAATGTTAAAATACTTTTACACACATGGTTCAACATTGTTATGAAACATATCCTGCAAGTTTTGTCATGATGACAGTTTCTGATTAATCTGTCTGATCTGTGTTGTGCCACACCCCTTTCTTTTGCATTATTAGCACCGTCTAGTGGTCTATTTGAGTGAAACTTTCAAGTTATGTTCCAGGTACTTATGTGGACACATCCTGCAAGTTTTATGATGATTTGCCCAATGACTGTGGAGTTAAATCTATGTATGTGCTGAGCCACGCCCCCTCTAAAGTTCATTGGTCAGTATCTTCAAAATGCAACAAAATATCAACAAGGTTTTGATATGTTTTGTTAAGGTTGGCCCAACAATGATCCACAGAAAATTTGGTGCACAATGGACCAATGGTTTAGGAGGAGACGTCACAAATGTGTTTGTCAGAAAATTCAAAATCGCAAAAAATCTCGTCAGATGGATCTTTATGGTTCTTGAGGCAAATTGATAGAGTGAGTATAAATGAATGCTTGTGCCAAGTTCTATGTAAATTGGACTTGTAGTGTTGGAGCTATGATTTTCAAAGTGGGCCTTTAATTATAGCGCCCCCATCAGGATGATTGGCCTCATCGTTATTGGGCAACGTTAGCACACAACTTCCAATCATTGGAGAAATTTTCATATCTACAATAAACCATCTGACATGAGTCTGTAAAAATATTTCTAAAGAAAAATAATAATACATCTGCACAAAAACAACAACAATAGGGTTTCAGACGTTCAAGCTCAAACCTCTAATTATAGGAACATTTAGGAACCTTTATCTAGACGCTTAGAAAATTTACAGAAGCCCGTCACATTGTGATATAACATGTTTCGAATGCTAAAGAACCTTAAAGACCAACCTTCAGACAAATAAGAGACATGTAAGAATATTCCTCGAACCTCTGATGTCGCAAAACAACTTGAAGTTCATCTGAAATTTTAGAAAAATTCTAAGAACCTTGCACATTATTCAGGAACTTCTTTAGAAATCCATCAATTGTCAGAAACCTGTAACAACCTTCAGATGTTTATCTACACCTTTAAATGTACAACAAAAATCCTAAGAACCTGTCAGAACCCAGCAGAACCCTTACAAGTTTATCCAAACCCTTGAAATAATGACAGTAACCCATTGGAAAATTTAGGAAAGCACCAGAACTGACAAGAAGCTGTAGAATCCTCCAGGAACCTTTGGGATCCATTAAAGTTGTTAGATCTTTAAAGAACATGAAAGAACTTCACAGGGTCCAGCAGAACATTTATTAATCTGCATTTATAAACCTGTCAGATCATCAAAAACACCTTTTAGAACTAGTAGTTCAACCTAATCTCAGAAGCCTCTCAGCACTGGTACATGTCCTTTACAACTTTAAGGAATGCATCAACTGTTAGGAACCTGTTAGAACCTTTAGACATCTACCAAACCTTCAGACAAATAACAGAAATGACAGGAACATGTCAGAATATGCAGGTACCTACTGGTGCCTGTAGAAACCCATCAGAACTGTAAGAACCTTTCAGAAGCAGAACTTTTAGAAGCCCTTTACGTGGCAGTAGGCCTCCAGTGAGGAGAAGATAATGTACATTAACCACAGGCTGAAGAACAGGCAGGTCGTGAGGATCTTGGGGATTCTGGGTCCACCGAGCTCCCCGCCGATCTCGGGCCGGCGGCGGTAAACAAGGACGCCGATGCAGATGAAGGCAAAGATGGTGAAGAGTGTGACAGAGAAGGCCAGCGTGCCCGGGTCGACCTTGAACACCTGGCCCTTGGAGTAGTGGTAAATGGCAGCAATGGACCAGGCAACGCCAATACCAAGAAAGACGTTGACAGCGTTACTTCCTGTCACATTGCCGATGGAGGCGTCGGCGTATTGGTCCTGGATGGCTGCCACCTTACTGGCAAAGGTGTCTGAGGAGAGAGAAAGTGAAGGAGATGATTGATCGAGCTGCTGTTTATCTGCTGTGTTGGTTAGTTCAAGAAGAAGTTTCTGTGAAACTGGAGGAGGTAATAACCCTGATGATGTCATAGTGATGTCATCAGGCTCATGTCAGCTATGGGTTAGGTTCATTTTTCTTGTTTGTTCTTGTTGATTTGAAAACATCTTGTTATAAAGTGAATATATCTTGTAAAAAACATGAATAACATCTTTTTATAGCAAGACACTTTTCATGTTATCACCTGATACTGATATATTTTCTGTATTCTATATATTCCATATTCGCCTCTGTATTATATATATTTTACTTCATCTATTAAATAAAAAAAGAAATTACAGGGATTCCTCTGCGTACATGTGCCAGAGTTTGGGAACCAGTGCTGTAGCAGGTACATATAAACGCAATGTGGTTAACGTGTGGTTATGTTTAGGCACAAAAACCACTTAGTTATGGTTCAGAAAAGACCATGTTTTGGATTAAAATACCCATTTTTGAGCACAACCCCCGCTGGAAAACAACACTGTTCTGAGTGAAAAGAAACAAACTGTTGTTGTTAGTTGGTGTTGAACAGTGGTCTGAAGCTTCACAGGCATCTCTCCTAGGTGTCACACTATCCCTCATCCCCTCCACCTCCTGATGACAAAGTCAGCTCATGAACTACATCAGTTTAAAAACTTTGATATGGTAAATATTAAATGTGAAAATGTAACTGTTTTTTGCAGAAACGTATAAAGCCGACATTTTCCTCTGGTGACTGAGCTCCGAAACAGCAACTGCCCCCAAATTAATAATCGTGCCTTCGCTGCCATCTGGTGGTTGCTGCATGCAGTGTATGACGTAAAATCATTGATTCACATTGAGTCAGAGAGCCACAGCTTTAGACATACGCATGTGCGAGCTGGATGGGGCGGGATATCTGTCAATAATTTTTTGATTTGGCCAATCAGAGGCTCACAATCCTCTGTCAGTCAAAAACGTATCTGTTTTTAATTCAGCCAATCATTTCACAGAGTTGGGAGTAGTCAGCATTTAAACTAGCAGGCTATGCTAGCACTAGCTAGCGTCTGCGTATCTATTCCCTGATCATAATTAAATATAGTAAACTTCAACCACTGCTCATTTTAGAAGGACCACAGCAAGAAAGCGAGCTCGTTGGTTCGATATCAAACGTACAATGGATTATAGATGTTTGTTTCTGGTTGCCAGCGTTAGCTAGTATAGCTAGCATGCTAGCTAAGTTAGCTGAAAAGTTTGTCTATTTCCATTTCAAAACGTTGACTAAAAACGTTGCCATCTGCTGATGCTATGTCGAGGGTTAATGTTAGAGTGGATGGTCTGTAGGGACAAGTCCACCTGTCAGGGGGGTAGGGGCACAAAACCCCCGGGGAAAGAATGAGAAAGTCCTCGTCTCCACATCCAGGGGTGTGTGGATGCTGAAGGGAGAGCTGAAGGACCCCACCGAGGTCCCGCCCTCCATCTGATTGTCCTAGTGGAGGAGCAGATCACAGCCAGACTGTGTAGGGGCTCAGAGCCAGGATGTTGCCATATTTTTCCCTGGGTCCTTGTCCTCCGGACGGGTGGACTTGTCCCTCTGGATCCTCCATTTTAGCACAAATTCAAGTCAAAGTATCAACAGACTGCAACATTTTTGATCAACATTTTTAAAGTGGAAACAGAAAACTTTTCAGCTAGCTAACACTGGCAGCCAGAAACAAATATCTATGATCCATCGTTTTCTAATTCCTCTTTAAACAAGCAATTCCAAATGCAAGAACAACGCTATTTTTACAATAATAATCTTAAAATCTATTTAGTAATCACTGTCCATACAAACATAAACCTTGAGCATGTGCTTTGTGATTCAATTGTTTGAATCATATTTCTTAGAGAGAGAATTTTCTGTTCCTTTTCAGCTGCACTGATGTGTTGGGGGGGCCACAGGGATCTACTCTTGGTCCTATTTTGTTTTCACTTTATATGCTTCCATTAGGATGCATCATCAGTCATTTAAGTGGGGTATCCTCCCACTGTTACACTGGTGACAGCCATATCTACCTGTCCTTTAAGCTAGAAAACTGTCAAGCGCTTTAACAGAATGCTCTACTGCTGTTAAGAACTAATATAAAATCTACAGCGAGAACTTTAGGCATGTCATAGCTCGTATTTTAACTGGGACAAATCATAAGTCTTCATACCTTGTAAAGCTCAGCATGGTTTAGCCCCCGCTTATATAGCTGAGCTTCTGACTACCTGTGCTCCAAGTCGTGACCTGAGATCCCTGAACCTACCCTCACTAGTCCCTCGGTCAAGGCTGGTAACTAAAGGTGACCTGGCTTTTGCCACCAAGACCCGGAGGCTCTGGAGTTCTCTGCCTGAGGAGACGAGGTGTGCCAGCACATTACCTGTTTTTAAATCATTGCTTAAAACATATTTTGATAGGAGAGTTTCCCCTTTAATGCCTTTCGCTTTTGATTATTTTGGTGTAGAGACTTTTTTCTTAGACGTTTTTATCTCGACAGCATCTGTGGACTGAATGTACTGTACTGTAAGTCAAAGTGAGGACAGTGGAACAGGTGTGTATCAGACCTGGTACAGATGTGCCCAAAGCTACAAACACCACAGCAGTGACAGAGTCTTTGAGGCCGACGGTGCAGCCAAAATGTGACGCCAGGTCGCCGATGATGGCCGTCAGTATGCCGATGACGGAGATGGAGACACAGAAGCAGGCCCAACCGTTCCAGTAGTCGGTGGGAGGAACGAAGGCAAACAGAAGCTTCCAGAAGACGGTGAGGAAGTGCATGACATAGTCAAAACAGGAGGGCAGCTTCTCCTCGCCACATTCATCGTCATCATCATCACCTGGGCAGGAGAGGGAGGCAGAGCCAGGAGTCAACACCAAGTCACACGTAAGGCCGGGTCGGATTAATCTTTATTTCTATGCACGTCAAACATGGAGCCTGTTTTCTTTGCTTCACTCTCAGCTGGCCTCATTCGTACAACTCGTGGAACTACAAGCTGCAACACGAAAGCGAAACTTCAAACTGGAGCCTGAGATCGTCTCGGGTCAGGTTCTTACCAGAGCTGACTGTGATGGCCTCCACAAACTGCTCTCTCCAGCTGTTTGTCCCGATCACCAGGGCCAGGTTGGTCTTCTTCAGGAGTTTGTCCACAGTGTTCTGAGAGACAACAGGTAACCACACAGTCAGTCAGGAAGGCTGAACATTGAATGTTCCTGCTGATCTTGTCACAAATCATCAGTTTGGTTGCAAATCTGATGATCAATCTGAAAACTGATGTCACGCCTTACATTTGACTATGTGTTCATTTTAATGTTTCAATTATGACATCACTGGAACAGAAACTGCTCCCACCTTGAACTCATACGACTCCTCAACGATGACCTCCAGTTTGACGTGTTCACCCAGCGTCGGTCTGCCCATCTCCGCGATCCGCCTCTCCTCCTCCTCCTTCTTGGTCAAAACCTCCTCGGCCCCCTCCTCTGAGACAGACAGAGAGTTTGATGGTGAGACTTTCATCACCGACGCTTCACAGTCAACAAAGGTAAGAACAACACAACAGGAGTGAGGTGGATGGATGATGGCTTCACAGACAGGTGGAGAAGGTTGTGGTTGAACCTCATGTGACCCTGCGTCCTCATATGAGGACTTCACATTTTGGGTTTGCTGCACCTTAAACTTAATTCTCAGACCAGACACCGTTTGGGGACACTTTTCTTTTTGTTTGTTTATTATGATTAATAACGTTTAGTTTGATATGAAAACAAATCTGACCAATTAAAGCAAGATAAGAAACTGTTAATATAGAAGTACTCGTTTGAGGACACTGGGACAGATGGTTGAATGACAGATGGACAAACAGATGGATGGATGGATGAAGATGGACAGGTGGTGGACGTACAGACAGATGGACGTACCTGTGATGTTGATGACGGTGGACGGGGCGGGGTGGTCTCGTCCCTGGACCTTCCTGTAGATGTCTTTGCCTGAACAGGTGGACAGAAACTGATTCTACTGAAAGCAGAAACCTCACAGTCCTGCTGTCAACAACAACAACAACAACAACAGTAATAACAGAAACAACAGTAACAACAACACAACAACAAAGTTGTGTATAACCCAAGTGTTGTTTTTGTGACTGTGGCGTGTAACAGAGATGTTTATCATGAAAGGACGCTGACACTCTGCGCTCTGATGTCAGGAGTGCTGTAACATTTATATAAAGGGGAGGGGTTACGTTGAGGACGACTCCAGTGTGTCATTAAACTAGAATTTCAGGCCCAACCAAAAAATCCTGGACACAGAAATAATGAAAACAGTTGTGTTCACACTAAACGTTTCTCGCACAAGTTTGAAGGCCAGAATATTTTGTGTTGACTCTTCGTACGCACGTGAAATCGCTGAATCGATGAATGAACTTCCACCAGTATGTCCTCTGCGGCATACCGCCCTGGAAAATCTCAATGCTGATTGGCTATCACGGCGCCAACTGGTCACTGAAGTTCAGATTTTTCAAGTCTCATGAATAAGTGTATGACGTAAAATCGGACTGTTCGCTTCATTAGCGCCGCTTAATTTGTGTATTTCACGTCACTCCGGCTGCGTCCATCGTGCTGCCTGGTGGGAATTCGCATCTCATCGCGTCTTTACATGGACTGCACGTGTAATTCACTCGCCAGAATTGTTTTATTCGCGCCTGGTGTGAACACAACACGACTCCAGCGTTCACATGTTCTCATGTTTCATTTTCTATCACGTAAAATGTGTTCAGACAGAAATCACTGATTTTGCCTCACCCAGACTTTAACGAGCTCGTTTCAGACTGACTGAAATACTAAAGTCCAGATTGTGTTTGCTTTCATACAATTAAAGTTTTAAAATCAAGGAAATTTCTCTCTAACATTTCTTTTTTTCTTTCTACATTAATTATTTCATACAGAGCTGTTTTTGTTTTATATGCTGCTGAGGGGACACTCAGGTACGGCTCCATCAGTGTTCACAGTCAAACAGGATCAGACTTTATAATGTTAGATAAAAAAATATTAAAATAACATAAAAGTATTATTTTAATTAAAAAAAAGGAGTTTATCCTTTTTTGTTGGTTCAAAAAAAAGGTACCGTACACTGAATTTTGTGAAGTGTTACATCCTGGCGGGATATATTTCATCATCATTCATATCTCTGCTGCAGTTTGTTGCAGACGAGTCACGTTTGGATTTTTAAGACTTGTATAATCTGAATGTTTTGTGTGTATTTATGTTTCTGCCGTCACACTTCAGTTTGAGAATAAAGTGGTGAGCAGCGCTATGTGTCATCCACCTCAGAGGATCACTGTGGACTCAGACACTTTGTATTTCTACAGTCGGCTGTTTTGTCTCGACTGAACTGAACGACAGGATTTTATCAAAACAAAAACAAATGGCGCTTCCGCCCCCTGATTCAGATCAGCTCCAAACTTAATGAGCTCTTTCTGCGCCTTCTTATTATGTTTCATTAAAAATCAGGCGGCTCATTTTTCTGATATCCTGCCGACAAACAAACGGAGCCATAAACACGTCCGCGATGGCGGAGGCGATAATAACGTGTAATCTGAGATGATGAGGTCAGAGGTCAAGTAGGAGCATCATCACACCACAGGCTCTGTGGGGTCAGCAGGGGGTGACGTGCAGTGTTCATGCCTTCAGAGGAAACCTGGAGCCAATGAGAACCAGCCAATCACAGCTCAGCAGGGCAGGACATGCTTGGAAAAAAAGCGTAGCGTTAGCCTGGTGAGCTAGCGGTCAGAGAAGGATGAAAAACGGTCATAGGGGAGCTTCTTTAAAACTGCAGATGATTGGAGAGAAGGCCACAGAGTGGAAATATTCTGACTTTGAGACCTGCATACAAACACTGTAGAAGTTATAATCATCAACTCATCTCTGCAAAGACACACTGAGCGGGGGTGTAGTAGCTGGAGGTGTTGGCGGACGAAGGTGCAGGTCGGCAGCTCTGCAGGACGACTGAGACGCACTGGTTTGTTGGATCTTTTTTTACTGCAGTGTGTTTAACAGTCAAACTACTGTTGGTTTGCCTCCTCAGTGCGGTTCGTTTGGGCAGGTGTGAACACAGCAGTCGCACTCAGGTGCACACCTGAACAGACCTTCTGGAAGAGGTGGTCTCGGTCCAGTTACAAATGAACTCTGGTGCAGTTTGTTTGTGGTGAGGACGCCTCCAGCCCTACCAACCTACTTCCTGTGCACAGATCTGCGTCCATACAGCTCTGTTGAAAACCAAGGCTTTTGTTACATGCTAAAAACACGTGAACCCAGGTATGTGACTCCGCCCCCTCACAGCCGTACCCAAGCTCTACAGAGAAGTGAAGCATAAAGCTGAGGAACCTTTGAGTACAGCAGGAAGGGTGGAGTTAACATGTGACGCCTGGACTTCAACTTCATATGTGACTATAGCAGGACATTATCTGACAGAGGACAGGAGACACTGTCTCACGTCCTCCAAACTAGAGCAGGTGTCTGCAGGTGTTATGACAGTGTTGGTCAGTCTGTCTGCTCTGTGTCACATTTTGCATCAATGAAAATGATTAAAGTCGATGAACAGACTAAAAACTTTATCTCAGGGGGTCAAACTGATGATGACAAAATTGTCTTTTGGGGGAAATAATTTTCAGTTGGAAAAAAGGTCATAAATCGCATTATATTTTATCGCAGTAATATCATATTGTATGGTGATAATATCATGTGGTGGGTCCTCTGCAGTTCCCACCCCTACTGGTTGCTATGTGTTTATTTGAGTGATATTTTGCAGGTGAAAGCCAGAGGGGGCCCCTGGCACTTTGGGCCCCTGGGTCCAAGCCCTGTAGGCCTGTTAAGTGATCCATCTATGTATACAATGCCAACATTTTCTTCTGGCTACTGCGCTGGACTTGGACGAGTTCCAGAACGACTCTGCTCTGAAGTAAAAACCATGAAACACCAAAAAAGAAGAATATTTTCACTTTGACTCCACAGAGTTATTCTGGCTTCAGTCTGGAGCTCTGACAGGAGAGAATAAATATCTACATGCTGACTGCAGACAAGAGAGCACAGTTTACAGAGGAGGCTTCCATCTGGAAGCAAATAACAGCCTGAATGATTTCAATCTTTTATCGACCACTGAAACATTACTGTGAAATGCAATTGTAACTGAATTCTCAATGATGACATTTATATCGTGTGTTGCACTGAAATATTTCATGAAACAGCTTTTTAAAGTCCAGTTCAGACCAAAGATTCACGACGAGATGAATCTGTTTTAGATCGTCACAGAGAAAAGTGTCAGCGGTGTGAACTGGCCGGTCTGAGCTCAACTCAAGCTGGCTGATGATGTCACCTGACACTCAGCTGGTCAAATGGCTGGCGGCTGGTTTTTTTGGGGGTGCAGTGGTTAGCATTGTTGCCTCATAGCAAGAGGGTTCTGGTTTGAACTCTGAGGTGGGGGAGCCTTTCTGTGTGGAGTCTGCATGTTTTCCCCTTGTCAGCGTGGGTTTCCTCCAGGTGCTCCGACATGTTCTCCCTGTGTCAGCGTGGGTTTCCTCCAGGTGCTCTGACATGTTCTCCCTGTGTCAGCGTGGGTTTCCTCCAGGTGCTCTGACATGTTCTCCCTGTGTCAGCGTGGGTTTCCTCCAGGTGCTCTGACATGTTCTCCCTGTGTCAGCGTGGGTTTCCTCCAGGTGCTCTGACATGTTCTCCCTGTGTCAGCGTGGGTTTCCTCCAGGTGCTCTGACATGTTCTCCCTGTGTCAGCGTGGGTTTCCTCCAGGTGCTCTGACATGTTCTCCCTGTGTCAGCGTGGGTTTCCTCCAGGTGCTCTGACATGTTCTCCCTGTGTCAGCGTGGGTTTCCTCCAGGTGCTCTGACATGTTCTACCTGTGTCAGCGTGGGTTTCCTCCAGGTGCTCCGACATGTTCTCCCTGTGTCAGCATGGGTTTCCTCCAGGTGCTCTGACATGTTCTACCTGTGTCAGCGTGGGTTTCCTCCAGGTGCTCCGACATGTTCTCCCTGTGTCAGTGTGGGTTTCCTCCAGGTGCTCTGACATGTTCTCCCTGTGTCAGTGTGGGTTTCCTCCAGGTGCTCCAGCTTCCTCCCACAGTCCAAAGACATGCAGGTTAACTGGTGACTCTAAATTGTCCGTAGGTGTGAATGTGAGTGTGAATGGTTGTCTGTCTCTATGTGTCAGCCCTGTGATAGTCTGGTGACCTGTCCAGGGTGAACCCTGCCTCTCACCCAGTGTCAGCTGGGATAGGCTCCACCCCCCTGCGACCGCCAACAGGATAAGCGATACAGAAAATGAATGTATGAAAGATTTTAGAACGTTAAGCATGTCACCTGTTTCAACAGCCAATCAGCTTGTAGTGAAGTCAGCTGGTCAAGTGTTGGCTTGCTGCAGCAGGTGCTCCGTCCCCACAGAGCCCTCTGTTTCTGTCCTCACAGTGTGCCGGTGTCAGACGGTGGGTCACTGCTGCTGCTGCTGGCTGTATGTGCTTATGCCCCGCCCACACACACATTCTCACTGACTGACTGTGCGGAAGTACAGAGAGTTGTTGACTTGAGATGATACGCCGTTTCATTGTGGTCACTTCCTGTGAATTGGTAGCTTTTACGTTACAGAACGGAGCGTTGACAGCAGGTGTTTGGTCTTTGGTCTGAACTGGACTTTCAGGTTTCAGTGAAAGTTGTGAAGAGAAATCAAACTCACTATCAGAGACAAATGTTTTATCATCTACAAATAAGATTTACAGATGTGTCCAACATGTATTCACAAACACCATAAACACCTCAAATCACCGTACACATTCTTGTACTTCATTTTTTAAATTTATGTTTGTGAAACTCACATTTGTCGCCAATAACGAGACTGATTTGTCTCTATAAATGAGACGCCTGCTCTCAGCTCTGATCCTGCAGGGCTCTGTGTGGGCCATGTTAATGTGATCTGCCTCCACAGAGTGAGAGATGAGAGGTTTCAGTGTCACATTAAAGTGCTGCATCTCTGGTTTTGTCTGTGTTGTTGCTTAAAGTGTCGAAACACTTTAAAGCAAACGTTCACACCACTGAGAGGCGTCTTACCATACAGCTGTTTCTCTGGTGAGAGGCCAAAAAGGATAAATGAACGCAGATTAACAGGAAACGTTCCCACATTATGTCGTTAGAAATGAGTCAATGTAAAGACAGAGTTCACCTACCTGTTCTCACGAATCCACCTGAAAGGTTAGAAAAAAGGAAAAAAGGAGTCAAAGTTTGTTCAGATTTTTCTCTCATTCTTTGCTTAATGAAGCTCCAGTGTGTCAGATTCAGGACGATTTAGTGATGTCTAGACTGCCGATTTTTAACCAGCTGAAACTTCTCCTGGTTAGAATTCCTTCAGCGTTCATTGTTCAGGAGCTGAATTATCCTCAGAGGTCTCAGACCAGCTGATTTACACCAGGATAAACTCTGAATAAAGACGTTTCACGTTACAAGAATCTGTATTTTTGCCATGCTCTCGTTGAGGAGGGGCGGCTAACTATGGTGGCCGACACAAAAATGTGACTGTGCTCATCTAAAGCTGGTGTTTGCTTTGTCTGTTCTGGGCTGCTGTAGAAACTAACACAGTCTCATCCCAACTCTTCAAACACTGCCGCTTTGTCAGTGGACCTACACGTCTAAATATGCTGTCTCTATATCCTCCTGCGTCAGTTTTGGACGCTCGGGGACAGCGTGTCAATTACAACACATCCTCACATGTCCATGTTTGGTCATGGACGCCGTGTCAACTTCAGCCTGTTACATCCTCTGTGTCTTTTCAAAATACACTTCTGTTTTCACAGGAAACGTACAGTTTGCATACAGTCTCTTTCAAAATAAAAGCACTACGCTTTTTTTTGTTCGACACCTTCGGAGTGACACTGGGTTGTCAGTTAATGCCTGTTACACTCTCTGTGTCTTTTCAAAATAAACGTCTGTTCTCACAGGAAATGTTCAGTTTCTGCTCGTTGCATGCAGACAATCTGTGTTTCAAAATAACTTTACAACGGCAGTAAAACACTTCATTTATTTCCTTCGGTTTAGGCAACAAAATCATGCGGCTAGGTTTAGTAAAAAACATCATGATTTGGCTTAAAACTCACACGGGAAACAAACAGCAGGCTCCTGGGTGGAAGTCTGGAGTTTGTTTGACCTGCACACCTCCCCTCCCTCCCCTCCCTCGCCTTCCTCCCCTCCTGTGCGGCCTTTGTTGCTTTTCATGTTACTTACTGATGGAGTTACAAACTGGTGCATATCACACCTCTGTGAAAGGTGCCTCTGTGTGTTGTGTCTGACAGCGATGGTGTTTGACAGATTGGCATGAAAACGAGCTGGCAGAAATGTGCAACATGGCGCTCTCCATAGACGAGGACCTGCTTCCTACGTATATATAAACGTCTGATTTTAAGGTAACGGAAACAGGATTCTTATTTTCAGGTGATTTCTCACTGAAGAAAACACACTGATTAGATCATATTCACTTTTAATCCAACACACTGGAGCTGTAGTAGAAACATCCAGAGAAAACATTTCAGTCACACAACATGATGAAGTCAGACAGAATGACGGACAGACAGCAGGACAGAAGAGGGAAACATGAGAGCAGCTTACCTACTTCCTGAAGCAACACAGCTGAAGAGAAGAAACAGACGAAGGAAACATTAAGCAGAGAAACAAGAGAAGAGACGCTGAGGTCTCCTGATGAAGCCCAGTTCACTTTGTTCTCATTTAAAATCATCTTTCATCGTCTCTCACAAAGTCCTTTGTAGCTGAACATGACTGAAATATGGATCCAGAATAAACCTGTCTGTTAACAGTGTGACATAAAAGAGACGGATTCATGTCAAATCATCTACTTATGAACTTGAACACGTGTGACTGTAAGAAAACACGTCACTGTTAAACACCGTTAACATGCTGATGTCACAGGACCATGTTCAGTGTTAATCTGGTGACGAACATCCAAACCCAAACTCTGTGAGATGAATACAGACACGGACAGGGACAAAAAGACAGCAGGGACACCTGGTCTCACCTGTCCTCACCTGGTCTCACCTGTTCTCACCTGTCCTCACCTGTCCTCACCTGGTCTCACCTGGCCTCACTTGTCCTCACCTGTCCTCACCTGGTCTCACCTGTCCTCACCTGTCCTCACCTGGTCTCACCTGGTCTCACTTGTCCTCACTTGTCCTCACCTGTCCTCACCTGGTCTCATCTGTCCTCACCTGTCCTCACCTGGTCTCACCTGGTCTCACTTGTCCTCACCTGTCCTCACCTGTCCTCACCTGGTCTCACCTGTCCTCACTTGTCCTCACCTGTCCTCATCTGGTCTCACCTGTCCTCACATATTAAACTTATTCCCACCCATCCTAAGATGTCAGACCTGTCCTAAACTGTCCTGCCATGGTCCAACCAGTGGAAAGTATCCAATCACAGGCTCAGGTTTGGTCTGAACCAATCAGGACTCATCATGAAGACCTTCCATCAACAGCTCTGACCAATCAGAAGCCAGCTGAGTGAAGGAGGAGCAGAGCGACAGCTGTGGGAGCAAACTGAACAAAAAGCAGGATAAAGAGCGCCTGAAGGCAGATGAAGGAAAGGTCAAAGGTCATCAGAGTGGTCAAGGTGCGTCTCCACACCTGTCCATCTCCTCTTGTTCCAATATGGCTGCTGCAGCTCTATGTAGAAGCTGGCCTGCTTATCGTACTCGTCGTGGTCAATTATTCTAACGGCTATGGTCTTCCTGCGGACGAAAGACAACAGCGGGAGGGCGGGTCAGAGGTCACGGCTCATGCAACACACATTCAGACACACTCATAGAGGCTGACAGATGCAGTGTGACAGGATTCCATCGTCTGAGTCACCGTGGCAACGCCGTGGCAACAGGGATGAGGAGGAGATGACCTCACCTCATCGGGCCTGCAGGGAGGAGGGATCAGACTCTGAGGTTAAAGTCACAATGAAAGACATAAGACGGTCTCACCTCAGTGGCCTTCACATCTTCATCATAATCATCATCACCACCTCACCCAAATCACCGAAATTAAAACCCTTTCCCCATGAGAGCTGCCAGAGGAGGAGGAGGTATGTTTGGAAGTAAAAGTTGGAGCTCTGAGTCTTGACGGGACATGAACCTGTCCTCGCTGATCGTCAGTATAAAGATATATCAGAATATCTACCTTAGAAACTTTCTGGTTCTTTGATATAAAAAACTGCAAAGGTTCATCACGGTAACATTCAAACCTCCAAATTCCAATTAAACATTTATTTTCTGTTTGTTTTATCCTCTTTTATTTACAGGCAGAGTCACTACATGTCAGTCATGACACATGTTGTTAGTTCCAGAATAACCCAGCTGCCAGCGAACATCAGTATGATGTCAGAAAGATGCTGCACTCCTACATCAGACGTTACATTTTGGGTGGTTTGAAAATCCAACCTGGTCTCACTCTGACAAAAAACGGTGCTTGGTCAGTGACATCTGGTGTCAGACACTAACAAACAATGCTCTTCTTTCACGTCGGCATGATACGTGACCGGTCACCGTTATTGTTTAACAGCGCCCGGCGGTGTCAGGGGGAAACGTAGTGGGACAACAACGAAAGTTAGGGCGGCAGAAGTCCACGTAGGGCAGGTGGGAGGGGTGTTGGATGCCTCTAACAACCACAGACTTTCTCTCAGGAGGCCGGTGTTCACTTCCTGTAAGATTGTAAACTGTTCTTTTTTCCTAAACATAACCGCGTGTGTGTGTCGGCTAAACGTAACCACGTGTGTGTGTTGGCTAAACGTAACCACGTGTGTGTGTCGGCTAAACGTAGCCACGTGTGTGTGTGTTGTTGAAGGAAAAAAACATCAGTTAGCGGTGTTGTGTCACAGGCTGAAGTTGACATCCCAGAACGTCAACAACCAACACACCCAGGGTACCTTGGACGTCATATGTGGACGTGGGAAGTCCATGATGGCATTGACATGAGACGTTTGGAAGACGTTGCATTTCAGTTACTGAACAACACAACTTTAAACCAACAAAATATCAGCATCATCTGTCGTCAGTTCTCTACATCAGACTGATGTTGGCGTTAGACGTGATCCTGATGTTGAATTTGACGTTTCGACCTAAACTCAACCAAATATTAATGTTGAACGATGTTGGTGGCAGCTGTGACGTTGCAATCAATTTGCTTTGTTGTACTGAAAATGTTTTAAGACACTTTAATGTATAAAAAAAGTTTCATGCAATTTAAAATCATTTTTGAACTTTGTCATCGTCCCGCTCAAAGATCTGGCTCAGAGGCAGAGCGGGTCGTCCACCAATCGGAAGATCAGTTTGAACATTGAATATCTTTACGTTGGACAGTATTTAGCTGTATTTACAAGTCACTGCATTCTGTTTCTCTTCATGTTTTACACAGCGTCCCATCTTTTTCAGAATCAAGGTTGTAAACAGGAAGCATAATGCTGCCAGTGTTTTATCCCACATTAGTTTCCATATAGCCGAACTGATTGCTGAATTATCTGTTGTCTTCTGTTTGCGGTGACTTCATGGATGTACAGACAGTCATCACTGTGACACTGAGGAAAACTTAAAACATGAAGATTCTCAGGGAGGCTCTGCAGACTGTTTTTCTGTGATTTCCAAGTGGATTTCTGGACGTTTATTCTGGATAGACATCAGATATACTGACGTCCTCAGGAAGTGACAGTCACACTGAATCTCACAATATGTGTTCCATGTCTGTGTGTTTACTATTCACTGAGTTACGACTCTGAGAGGAAGTGTACGTAGTGTGCTGTGAGTTTTGTCGTTTTGTTTCTCTTCTCTGATTTTCATTGTGACTTTAACTCAAAGCCTGAATATCTACAACAGATTGTTTGTTGATGATCTTCCCTGTGAGGTCTGGAGGTGAGTTTGAATTAACAGAGGTTAAAGGTCATTAGTAAGGTGGGCGGGGTTACAGGACAGGAAGGCGACACCCCCACCTTTCCTCTCACTCATCTCCAGCAGCCGAGGCTCTCCGAGCTCAAGGAAGAAGTTCTTGTTTTTCTCATATTCCTCATCATCAATTATATTGATCTGAACAGTTTTGCTGAAACAGAAGAAAAACAGACAGAAAGGTTGCAGAGGGAGAAGTGTGCAGACGCCGATAAAGAAAACAAGCTGAAATATCGCTGTGGTGATCACGGTCCAGGCAGATTTTAGAGGATGCTTGTTTCTTATTTAACTGACAGAAAGCAAGAAAGAAGAAAGAGAACAGAAACAAATGAGCTGCAGCAGCGAGCGTTGCCGATACAAAGGTGGATGATGTCAGAGAGGTGGAGGTGGAGACTGCAGGGCAACAACCACAGTTACAGAAACATTTCCTGAAAAAAAAAAGGTTGTAAGCGTTAATGATGATCCGTACGACTCCTCTGTCAAAGTCATTGTTCCTGAAGAACAAACTTCAATCTGGAACACATACCAATCAGTTATAGGAAGAAGCCAAGATGGCGCTCAGTGATTTTAGGGAAAGTTGTTCACTCGGAACATGTCAGAGATCTTTATGTCTCCAAAACCCTGCAGAAAACATCACAAACCTGATGTGGAAGAGCCAATCACAGACTCTGATGAAGAGTTTTCAGTTCAGACCAGTTTGATTTGAGGTCAGTGATGACACAGTTACAAGTTTGATTGTTCTGCCTTTGAGTGTTGGAGGCTTCGCTGAGCTGCAGGCTACAGCAGCCCTCATTGGACACATGCACCGTGTGTGTGTGTGTGTGTGTGTGTGTGTGTGTGTGTGTGTGTGTGTGTGTGTGTGTGTGTGCCGGCAGCGTGGAAACAGAAAATTGCCTCCATGTTTATTTGATGTCAGCAGATTGATGGTTTGGAGGGTTTGTCTCTGTGATTCCAGGACGTGCCTTCGTGTCACAGTTTTAGGAAACTTGAAGCTTCATGTTCAGGACGACTTTACTTCAGTGAAACTGCTGAGAGAAATACTTCACCTTCAAAATGACTGTCTGCATATTGATGAGGATTTTTACATCACAAAATATTATGGTTTTTCTCCTTAATCTGAAAAAGACAGTGTTATGTGACTCTGTGTGCATGAGAGTAATCACCTCCACACCTCACAGCGTCACTATCCTTGTTCACTCTTTAATTACATCCCATAGTGATTATTGCAGCTCTGTCCTCTTCCTCGCAAGTGTCTTCATAAACTCCAGTTGGTCCAGAATTCAGCTGCTCGTATCATTACGAGAACCCCCTTCATAGGTCGCATCACTCCTGTTCTCCAGCAGCTTCACTGACTTCCTGTTAAATATCACATCAATTTCAAGATTCTGCTTGTTTAAGCTCCTTCATACCTGTCTGACCTCCTTCATATCTACACACCCTCCCACACTCTTACACCCAGTTCAGACCAAAGATTCACGACCAGGCAAGTAGAAACAAACAACTACTGTCAATGCGTCATTCTGTAACTTTGTAAAAACCTGCTGGTTGACAGGAAGTGACCGCCATGAGACGGCGCATCATCTCTAGTCAACGACTCTCTGTGCTTCTGATCTGTAACGTTGACAGGAAGTGACCGCCATGAGACGGCGTATCATCTCTAGTCAACAACTCTCTGTGCTTCCATACAGTCAGTCAATGAGAATGTGTGTGTGGGCGGGGCATAAGCACATACAGCCAGCAGCAGCAGCAGCGACCCACCGTCTGACACCGGCACACCGTGAGGACAGAAACAGAGGGCTCTGTGGGGACGGAGCACCTGCTGCAGCAAGCCAACACTTGACCAGCGGACTTCACTACAAGCTGATTGGCTGTTGAAACAGGTGACGTGCTTTAAAACCAGCCGCCGGCCATTTGACCAGCTGAGTGTCAGGTGACACCATCAGCCGGCTTGAGTCCAGCTCAGACCGGCCAGTTCACACCGCTGACACTTTTCTCTGTGACGATCTAAATCAGTTGCATCTCAGATCCTCCTCTGCACGTCACCACCCGCCTGTCTGAGAGAACAACGTCTCTCAACAAACAACTGGAAGGAATTTGGTGATTTTACATCTACAGTCCATAATAACATCAAAACATTCAGGGAAGATAATCTCTGCATGAAAAGGACAAGACTGAAAACCAACACTGAATATCCGTGACCTCTGACCCCTCAGACTGCACTGCTTTAAAAACAAACACGACTGTATAAAGGATATCACTACATGGGCTCAGGAACACTTTGGAAAACCATTGTCAGTAAACACATCGCAGCAGCTACCAATGACAGTTCAGACTCTATCAGGCTCCGCCCACTTCTCTGAGCCCGACTAACACAAAGCAGCATCCTCCTCCTGCAGAGCCGGAGAGCCACTGTTGTAGACGTGTGCATGCGTGAGCTGGAGAGGGTGCGGTATTTGTCAGTCATTTTTTAATGTGGCCAGTCAGAGGCTCACAATCCCGTCAGTGAAAAACTTATCAGTTTAATTCAGCCAATCACTTCACAGTAGTCAACATTTCAATTAGCTAGTTATGCTGGCGCTATAGCTAGCGTCTGTGCACTACCTCCCTGATCATGATGGAATATAGTAACTTCAACCGCTGCTCATTTCAGAAGGACCACCGCGAGAAAATGTGCTCTTTGTTTCAATTATAGCACAATTAACCAACAATGAATCATAGTTGTTTGTTTCTGGCTGCCAGCCTTACCTAGCACAGCTAGCATGCTAGCTAAGTTAGCTGAAAAGTTGTCTGTTTCGACTTCAAAATGATCATTTAAACAAAGAACATGTTTCCTTGGAGTGATCCTCCCAAAATAAACTGTGGTGAAAGTTGCTATTTTCTTTATTGATCCATGATTAAGGAGCTGATAAGGAGACAGCGTTAGCTAAAAGGCTAGTGCGCTAGGTAGTGGAAAAGTTTCTATTTCTTCTTTAGACAAGTGTTTGTGAACGCAAGGCTAACGTTGTTTTTACAACAACAATCTAAAGTATGTATTTAGTGACCTGCGTCTGTACAACATACAACTGAGAGTCTGGTGTTCGGCGCATGCGCGCGTCTAAAATGGTGGTAGCTCTCCGGCTCTGCAGGAGTATGTTTCTCACAAAGTGCTCTGACCAGTCCATCATGGACATCCTGTCCTCCAGGACCATACAGATCGTTACCGGCTCGTGGAGGTGCATCATGGGTAACTTCCTGTCTGTGATGGGATGGAGAGGTGCATCATGGGTAACTTCCTGTCTGTGAAGGCTCCATGAATGCTGAAAGGTCCATCCAGGTTTTGGAGCAACATATGCTGCCATCCAGACGCCGTCTCTTTCAGGGACGTCCCGTCTTCTTCCAGCGAGACATTGAGACATTTTGTGACGTGTTCCAACAGCGTGTCTCCGTAGTGACAGAGTGCAGGTACCAGACTGACCTGCCTGCAGTCCACACCTGTCTCCCACTGGACATGTTTACCAGAGTCCATCCATAAACTGCAACTGGTTCAAAACTGTGCCGCCAGAATTATTTCCAGAACTCTTCTAGTCGTATAACACCTGTCCTGCAGCAACTCCATTGGCTTCCAGTCAAATACCGCATCACTTATAAAATCCTCCTTCTCACCTTCACGGCCATCAACGGCCTGCCCCTCAGTATCCTGCTGAGCTCCTTCACATTAACATACCCAGCTGTGCCCTCAGGTCCTCCTCCTCCTCAACTCACCCTCCCACCTGCTCGCTCATCCACCATGAGGTCGAGAGCCTTCAGCCGCTCGGCCCCCCGCCTCTGGAACTCTCTACCGCAGGACATAAAACACTTGGACTCTGTCACCTCCTTCAAGTCCCACCTCAAAACTCACCTTGACCTCATGACCTCACTGTTGCACTTTACTGCTGTTTTATGTATTGCGTTTTTTGACTGTCATGTTTTATTATTGTCTTTTGTACAGTGACCTCGAGTGTCCTGAAAGGTGCCTATAAATAAAATGTATTATCATTATTATTATCATCATTATTATTATGTGTGGGACATGATGAAGCGTCGACCCCGGAGAGGTGCATCATGGGACTGTTGAGACACTGAAGTCAGATACTTCAACAGTGAAGGTGCTTGCACATGATTGCTGATTTGACCCAATGCTGATCTCTCCTCCATCTTGTAGTCGGATCTTTAAATTTTTCCGCACCCTGTCTCTGCCCCCGCCTGCGTTCTTCTGTAAAATCATTGGCTCTACACATAAAGGTCAGCGTCACACGGGACGAAGTTCAACAAAACTGAACTTTCGGTGTTGCGTCAAAACGCCGGTGAAGCCCACAATGTGACACCGAAATCGAAAAGTACCCCGACGTCAGCGTTAACGCCAGCTTCCATAGGAAAACAATGGCACCGCGGGCATCAAGAGATTTTTAACGCTGCTCATGAGGTGATGATGTCACACAGTGACAGGAAACAGGCTTCTGTCACAGCTTTATTACAACCTGCTGCAGATTTACAGAGAACAATAAAGTTTATCAGTTTGAACATTAAATATCTGATTTTTTTTTTTACTGTATTTATTTGAATAAAGATCTAAAAGATTTTAAAATCATTGCATTGTGTTTTTTTTTTTTACACAGTGTCCCAACTTTTTTGGGATTGGGGTTGTATTTTACATAAACCTCTCAGCTCGTATGTTTCCTGTATCATCAGCAGCAGAATCAGGAAGTGACCCAGAGAACATCAAAGTATTTAAATCAAATGTGAACAGTGAATAAAGAAAACACGTCTCTGCGTCTGAGTAAATGTGCCCGAGCCCAAAACTAGGAGCTAAAAGAGGCTGAAAGTCTCCACAGATGAACGTTAGTGCAGCTGTATGAAGAGTCTGAACTCCACAGTCAGTCTGCTTCGTATCTGCAGGGTTACAGCGTTCTGTGGAGGGAAACAGAAGCTGCAGTAAAACATCAGCTCAGATCAGAGACGTGGCCGTCGGCCAGCAACGACCTCCCCTATGGTCGTCTCTGAGAGGAACCGGCTGCAGTCGTCTGTCTGCTTTATGGGCCGAGCCGCGGACGATGAGCAGGTCCTGCTGCTGCTCAACACAGGCTGCCCAAATAAGGAAGAGAGCTGCATGGTGTTTATCTGCACCAACAGCACGGC